TATATATATATCTAAGTAATAATTTTTGATAAAAAACACAACCTACCAGGAACTAGCATTTCAAAATTAACAATATAATAATATGTTACGAGAACATGAATAGCAAGTATATCATTATTAGATAAAATTCTAAAAGGAAATTAACTTCGATTACCAATCATTCGAATTTACTATTATACAGAATAATTTTTATCCAACTCGACAACGTTTAAAGTTACTTACAGTTTTTTCATTGCATAATAATATCGACACACAAATTACGATTCTTTTTTTTTTTTTTTGTCTGTCTCATTTTCCGAATAAAATTCCTAATTTCGAACTGTACGAATACGCGAAGGAAATATCAAAGCCAACTGAAAGACGAGTACACGAAAGCGAAATGTACCAAATTATCATCACCTAAAAAAAATCAAGTTTCGTTTCAAGTAATGTGTCAAACTACGTGTATACTAACAAATAGATATTAATTTGATAAATGAAACCACCGACAAATCTGTGTACAATATTCGAGGTTTCTCCCATGCAGATCTCGATACGGTGACAGGTGAAACGTAGGTGGTTCTCTGAGAACAAAAAAATGTATAAAAGTTTGTCTGACTAACGTAAGTCTGAACGTTGAAATTCACGCAGTATTAAAATTTATTAAAATAAAAAACTTATTTGATAAAACTCTCAATGACGTGTGTAATTATGTGACATGTACGATGGAAAATTGACTAAATGTTTCCTTCGTTTTATAATAATAGATTATAGGATAATGAACGAAAATAGAAATAAAAATGAAAGAAATTAATTAACATAAAGACAATAGATAAATGATAGATAAATACAATAATTATTCGATATATATAATACAACGAGCAGATTGCAAGTAATTTGAAGTTGTCAAGTTAAACGAGTTACAATCCATATTCAAGGAAGATACATTTAACACACAAAATGAAACACTATATTGACGTAATTACACAAAATATCTTCGGTTTTTGTTTGAATAATACGAAAAATTTCTTAAAGAAACAGATAGGATTTTCAGGAATCATGATTGACAAATTACTGTTGTCACGATTATTTTTTTTATATATGCTTTTCATAATTAAAAAATTAATTTATTAAACAATAATACTTAATAAGTCTTTTTAATTTTAGCAGATTTAATAATTATTCATTTTTAACTATATTTTATATCTTTCACTATATTATGTTCTTAGTTTGTTACAACTCGAACTGCACAATTTATAAAATTTTTATCTACTACGTTGATATTATACTAAATGATTCTACGCACGTAGAATCACAAAATGATAAAACCGGAATAAGATTATATCTAATAAAAGATTACTTAAAAATTTAAGTTTATATAAAAATTTTATTCTGCTTATTGAATTCTTATTTGGATCAATTGAAACATGAAAGATCAATAACTGGTGAAAATTACAAAAATAATTTGTCAAGCATAATACCAAACTTCATGATTCAATCACTTTTCTATGAATGACAAAGATATTTCGCGTGATTGTTAACAGAAATATCCTTTTTATAATAATTAACAATACATAGTTCATATGCATATAATTATTATCGGCCTCATCTTTGACTTTAATCGTTTGAAATTCATCGTTTCAAAGAAATTTTAAATGATTTAAAAAATTCAAATATTAACATGACAATTTTTAACAAGGAAATGTTGATCTCACCAAGAGTGGCGTAATTTTCTTTATAAGAAGAAATAGTAAACAACACAGTCTACGTTGAAACTGTTTGAGAAAAATTCTTATAAAATATATTTTTTATACTTTTCTATAACCTGAAAATAAAAAATTAATTAGTAAATTAATATGTATTATTTTCAGAATTTTGTTCTTAATAACAAGATTCTTTTACGAGATGATAACAGTGTGTGCGACTTCCTATTAAAGTAT